TGTGGAATAATTTCTTTGTGTTTGATTTAAAGTTCGACTAAAAAATGCCACGGGCTGCTGATTTTGCAAAAGTACCGCTCCTACCGCATAATCCGAAGCATCCGCTGAAATTTCTAAATTCTCATCCTTTTCAGGAAATTTCAAAACAAGGGCTTGCGTTAATGCTTGCTTTAATTTTTCGAAAGCCCTATTGGCTTCGGCCGTCCACGAGAATCTTGCCTTTTTCCTTTTTAATTTTAACAATGTTTCAGCAATAGCTGCAAAATCTTTTATAAAGGACCTATAATATAAAAAAAGTCCTAGAAAAGAAGAGAGCTTCTTTGCCGTATTTGGCGGCGGATACTTTTGCACAGCGATTATTTTTGATTCGTCTGTCTCGATTCCTTTCTGAGATATTTTGTAACCTAAGTATTTTAATTCAGGGGCTGCAAATTTGCACTTTTCGACATTAACTTTTAGACCGGCCTCATTTAATAATGAAAACACCTGTCTTAAATTCTGTACCTGTTGGTCCAGATTATCACTAGTAATAATGATATCGTCTAAATAGATAAATGTGGACTTTCCAAGAACAGGCCTTAGCACAATGTCATACATCGCTGAAATGTTGCTGGTGCCCCTGAAAGGGCAATCGGCATACGCAGGAATGCATAAGTGCCAGACTTGGTTATAAAAGCAGTCTTAGGCACATCTTCTGGTCTAACCCCTATTTGAAAATAACCAGTCGTTAAGTCTAAAGTCGTCATGTATTTGGTAGAAGTTATGTTCCTTAGAATTTCTTCAATAATAGGTAACGGATATACCGGATATTTAGTCATGGAGTTTAATTTACGATAGTCAATCGCGAAACGCCACCTTTTTGGATGTGTTACTGGATAGTCATTGTTTTTCTTACATAAAACAACTGGGCTAGCATAACTACTTGAGATGGGCGTTATGATCTTTTTACGTAACATATCTCTAATGTGCCACTCTATAATTTTTTCTTTATTCTTATCATATCGGTATGGTTTGTGGCGAACTGGCAGTGAATCTCCGGTGTCGATACTATGGTTAGTAACTTGAGTAAATCCTGGAATATCACTAAATAACAAAGCAAACTCACTTACCACTTGTCGGATTTTTTGTTGCTCTTCCTTAGGCAGGTGGTCAAGGTTTAACATTGGTGGTTCTGTTTTTTCTTCTCGAACTGGTTTCATCGTCAGCTTAAGGGATGCTTTGTTATTATCCAGTGTTGCTTCTGCCTCTGAAAGAAAATCTATCCCTAAGATGATATATGCTTGCAAATTCTTTACTATAAAAAACATAATCTTTACTTGTGCGTCCTTGATACGAACGTATATCGGTAATTTACCTATACACTTGCATCTTTCTCCCTGCGAAGCTAACACTGTCGTATTATCCGAATTATATATGCGGTATTTCCGAAAATACTTCCTAAAAAATCTTCTGCCACACAGGAACACTGCGCGCCTGTATCCAGGAGTGCGGTGGCTGGGATGTTATTCACCAACACTTCAATCTTTGAAAGAGTCAAATTTTTCACCATCACTGTATTTAACTTGAAGGAAGAGGGGTTTTCTTGGCCTTTGGATTTCCGCACCCTCCCGTCAGCAGAAATCCGTTTTAGTTTAAATCTTGTTTTTTCCTTTCCGTGCTTTCCTTCTTTTTTTACTGGCCTTCAGACTTTTTTCCTGGATTACTATTGAACTGTCGACGTTCGCCGGTTGTTTTTGGATACTCGGGTTTCCTTGCCCACTGATTCGCTTTGCTTCCGTAGCCGTGTTCTTGACTTTGCTGTGGTCTTGGCACATCAAATTGGCTTCGTTGCTCATACTGGCGTCTTCTTTCAATGTCCGCCGTTCTTCTACTTTCAAACTGGATTGCTAGCTCAAATAACTTTTCCAGTGTAGTCGGATTCCTTAATTCAATATTGCTTGTACTTGGGGAAGTAACCTCGGCAAAATCACTTGAATTATCTTCCGGATCCTGACGGTTTCCATACAAGAGTTTGAAGACGTGAATTATTTCTTAAAATAAAGCTTTGAGAAGATTTTCAATTCGTTTCTGGTATATGCTGAAAAGTTCCGTTTCTAATTTTGCACGATCCCTTACGACAGGGAAGGCTTTTACTAGGGCAGTCTTGAAATTTTCGTAAGTATAGGTGGGACTTCCCACTTGACCCAAGAGACTTCTGCCTATACATTTGAACCAATTAAGCGCTTGGCCCCTCAAAGCACTGGTAGCTAAGGTGACTTTCTGGAACTCATGCACGGGATACATCATGAAGTGGTCCTCCAATTTTTCCAAAAAACTGGTTACTGGTGAGTTTCCATTAAATGTTGCTTCTGGTTTCATCGATGCGCGCATGGTCTGGACGATGTAACCAAATCCTTCCAGGGCGGCAGATGGCATTTCTGGATTCTGAGCCGCTTCTGCAGGCAGCACAGGTTCTTGAAACTCGGCCATGGTTATTCTTCTTCGTCGGGTGCCACTATCAGGTTCAGTGTTCCTCCTTACTTGCTTTGGGAACATTAAATGACCTGACTGGGAACAGGGAGCTTACTAAAGCTATGTTCAATAAATGTGGGAAGTAGACCAGATACACAGGAAGGGTATACGAAACCCTTTATTTTTCTCTCTTTACAATGATTTCCGGACTTCGGAATACAGAGACCAACCACTTGTGGTTTGAACGTAAGAATATAAAAATATTAACTAATTAACTAATCTAACTAAACTAACTTTGGATTAATAAACAAGTGTCTACTTGAAGATTGGCCGTATATTAACAGAAAGGTCGTATGTAGTACAGAGAACTGTTAACAGTACGATACGTTAAAATTATCAAGAGGATTAAACCTCTGGCCTTGAAGGCAACCAGCAACCGAGTAAAACTGCTATGGCAAGCGGCCTGCTCCTAATCACTCCTTCCTCTCTCTTGCTTGGCAAAAAGCCACAACTTAAGTACTTGGCGTTCGCAAGACAAATTTGCATAAATAAGTTAAAGCTTTTAATTCTGGCCGGAAGTAGAAAATAAGAAGTGATAGTAAAGATTTAAAATAAAATAAACGTTAGTAAAACTTAAGATCCTTACAGTTGAAGCTTCTAAATATACATCTTCAATATCTGATGTTGTATTAGGTGGAAGAAACATACTAATTTCAGTTTTACATTTGGTGGATGTGCTGGGAAATTGTCACAAAATAGCAGAATCTTCCTATTAACTCTAAACATTGTTTAATCAACCATTCTGACATTATTCTTTACTTGATGACTTTTTATTGTGATGTTGATGGACAAATAAAGCTTTACGATTGATGTGTTTGAAGCATCTTGATTTTTTGCCCTTTTCACTTACAAATAGTTGCTCAAACTCTCTTTCCATATTATAACAAAGTAGCACAGTGAAATGTTTTGTGGAGCTTTCACTACCAGAGCCCATGTCACCTTTGAAGCATAGAATTGTATTATGCAAAATTCGACAAAATAATCCAGTTTCATCTGCATTGTAGATCTTTTTAACCTCATTCACAAATGTTTTTAGCTCTTTTATCCAGTCTGTTATATGTTGCATATCTACTGATTTTTCTTTACCACATATAGTCTTAAAAGTAATATTATGCCTTTGCCTAAAGTTGTCTAACCAACCATGTGGTGCTTTCAAAATTCTGTTAGTCCCAGACTTTCCAAAATTTCTTTTCCCATTTATTGCAAAAATTTTGCTTTTACAGAAATGTTGTTTGCTCTCACAGAACAAAACCAGTTAAACGCATTACTATATCAATTTTACAAGCTTCAGTTTTTCTAAATTATACACTCTTGGAATATTAATTTGAAATTTTATGTGCTCTAATTAATTCCAAATTTCTGTATTAATCTCTGAAACCAAGCTTTTCAATTTCTGCTACATGAATTACACCACCTTTTTTGTTTTAATGTTTATCTTTTCCTCTTTAAAAAGATCTAGCATGGCCTTTTCGAAGCCAAGCTAGATAACATTATGTAAAAATAACACACAAGTACAAAACTACACTTCACACATCCTAGCAAGAACTAAGGATGATAAAAATTTTCACTTTATCTCGCATTGTGAGATCCCAGTACCAATCATCCCATCGTCTTTTCTTTCCTGTTGGTGTCTTGTCCTATTGGTGATTGCCTTACAACTTGCTAACAATGTTTTCTTACCCCTGTTGAGAACTGTTAAAAAAATAACTGAATTTGAATTCTGTGAATGTGAAATATCCTTTCGATTGCAACTCAAGATGCTTTTTTCCAGTATTGTTCCCCCATTTTCCTACTAAAAAGCAGTTTTCAAGTGAGAGGGGTTAACTTTTCATTTTATTGTTTCCTTTTCAAACCTCAAAAGATCACTATCAAAGAATATTTCTGTTTTTATTTATTTCTCTCTGTTTTATTTTTGAAACTCTTTTTCAGTTTCCCTTAAATAGAGCAACACCCAATTAAAAGGTAAACGAATTAAAGCCCCTCTGAAACCAACAGCATTTTTTCTGAAATGGAGGTGTCCCTTACAGAAGGGAAAATCTCCTTCACTACTGGCGATTTTCTCAGCATAAAAGTGTCAAAATATTAAAAAAATAACTTAAGAACATAAAATTTGGAATATCCAATTAAATGCTAATATATTTTACATCATCACTAAATTAAAAATAGTTCAATAACCTGAGCCATTATTGTATTATAAAGTAAATTAAAGTCACTTTTAAATGATGTCATTGCACAGCAATTCCTTCCAGTTTCTTCTGCTTTTCTGGGAAATATATCCTAAATTTAAGGATCTTGGGTGGGCAGCTATGCTGTAGGAAAGAAAGTGGAAAATTGGTTACATGACCATTTAATGAGAGTATTCAGAGATTCGCTGATTTCCTGAAATGGTTGTGTGTTATATGCAAATTTTATTTCCTTAAACATGCTGTCAGTAATATTTTATTGATCACGAATAAGTATTTACTGTGTACTTTTTTTAAAAATTTTAGTTTTGATTTTTGTACTGCTGATGATGCCGAATCTCCTGTTGAAAACTTAGGTCAAGTTGTATTTGGTGAAAGAATTCGACCTTCACTGTATAATGTAAGCATTTGCATTATGTTATCTTTTTTGCTGTGTTTAAATTTTATGCTGTATTTTATTTCCTATGTCCTTACTAATTTTCTATAAATAGGTATGATGTTTACTACATAGGCTTATGTTTCTATTGTTACTAAAATTTTCTGATGTTGTCATGAATTGCTTTTTAGACAATCAAAGGAATTCTCATGCTCATTCTAAACTTAAATAATAATTTAAAATGGAATAAAATTTATCTTAATAACTATGAAAATCTTTGTGTGTATTAAATCTTCTATGTATCTTTAAATTACTTTTTTATCAGCAAAATTTAACTTGATCTGATTTTTTAAATAAAGATCTTGTCTGTATTAGGATATTTTTTTTTTATTAAAGTAAGGAAATTTAAACTGCTATTATCAGAGTGCTAGCATTCAGCCCCCATTCATTCTCAAAGAGCAGGATGCTTGAAATATTCTACATAAGTATTGTACATATACTGCAGTCTTTTCATTCATAAGAATATGTTTTTTAAGGTACTTTTCTGTAAAACAGTCGTAAGTGCTGCTGCTTTATAGTTATTGGATAAAAGTTACTGGATATATATATTATTGGACACAGGTTATTGGATAATAGTAAATGAAATTAATTCAAACATTTGGAAACTGTATTTTCAGTTGCATTGATTTTTGAGCTCTACAGGTCTAGGTGTTATTTTTATATAAATAATTCAAGAGCGTAGTAAAAATTTCTGATAAGTAATATTTTGAAGTAATCTTAAAGGGCCTACCTGTGGGTGAATGTTTAAAAACATAAAATATTGGTAGTTTCTTCTGGATTTGAAGTGTTTTGATGGCTTGCCTCTTCACTATTATAAATGTATTTGAGTTTTACTTAGAGTACTGCAGAAGCATATCTTTCCTTAAACATTTAGCCACAATAACAAATCCAGTCTTAATAAGATTTAAGGTAAAGTTTGTTGAATTGATTTTAATGGCAGTATGAATATTAAATGCATATTTCTAATTTCAAAGATTTATAATTTTTATTTGTGAACTAAATGCACTTCTTGTTGATGCAGAAAGTTTACTCACTATCAGAACATTTTAAGTTATAAATTTTGTTATTGAGCTATGATATTTCTTTTAGAAAGTTTTATATTTACTTACGTAAGTTGATTTATAAATCTTCGTGTTGACCTTTTTTCCTTTCCAGATAAGCTTTTTAAAAGATATTCCTTGTGCGAGAGTATGCCAGAAAACTTACCATCTTGATCGCAAAGAAGATGTTGAAAAATTGGCTAATCTTAAAAAGGGAATGTTGATGAACTATCAGCATCATTGGTATTAAAAACTTTTTTATTTATTGCTTGATTCTAGGAATTCTCTGAGGTATATGATGTAGGAAAATCCACATAAATGTCTTCCTCCACTATTTTGCCACATGTCAACATTTTATATGGATGTGCTTGTTTCAGAGAATTGTTAGAAAATTGAATTGGATAGCAGTGTTAAGAAATTTTATTTAAGTATGGCAAAATTAAACAAATATTTAAAAAATTAAATAAATACTTAATTTAGGAAATATTCTAATATAGTAGGGGGACCGGAAAGTAATGTCACTTTCTTACATTAAATTCAAACGAATAAATTTGTAACAAGTTTTTATTTTTAATCAATAATATAATCACCCTCGTTATCAGCAACCTTTTGCCATCTAGTATGCCAATTTCAATCCCAGATCGATAAAAATCAGTTTTTGAGTAAAATATCTCGAGATGGCATTTTGGACATCATCCAGATTTAAAAATTTTTTGTCACTAAAAAAATGTAGGGATCGGAATAAATGAAAATCTGAGGGTGTGATATTGGGCGAATATGGTGGGTGAGGCAGTACCTCCCACCCCATTTCATTATATTTTTCCAGTGTTCGTCTAGCATAGTGTGGTCTTGCATTGTAGTGTTGCAGAATTGACGCCTTTTCCATTGCCAATCGCCAGATATTTTTCGATTAAAGATTGGTTCACTAGATGCAGTTGTTCACAATAAAGGTCTGCATTAATAGTTTTTCTAGGTTTCAACATTTAAAAATGAACTTTTCCGCGAATACTCCATCAAACATTTAGAAGTGCCTTTTCGGGATGTAAACCCTTTGTAACCCCTATTAAAACTGCCTTTCGAGTTTTGGATTATCATATAAGACTTATTTTTTTGTTTCCACTAATCAAACAATCAAAAAACGGTTCTGTATGGTGCCATTGAAGCAATACGTTGCATGTGATGGATAGGTTGGCTTTGTTCTTTTTGGACAGATTATGGGGGACTCAAATACCTGCTTTGCTTATTTTTCCATTCTACTTTAAATGTTCTTGGATGGTCGACCAAGGTTGGTTAAGAGTGTTTGACATTGATTTGCTTCCACTTCTGCCCTTAGCATGTTGTTGTCGACATGTGCAGAAATGACATTACTTTATGGTTCCCCTATTATATAGATAACAGCTTCATTTCCATCAATAGCACTGCTTATAAAAATGATAGTTAAAAAAAAGCGGAATTTGCAGTTTCCCAGATATCTCTCTATATAAAAGTAAAATATTTACTTGTGAGAATGCAGCTGGGAAGGGGATCACGTGATTGCTTACCACAATTGAGAACCAAAACAATATTTACTATGCTGTTGCCAAAACACTACATGAGGTGCACTCCCAGAAGTTGAGATAATTGAGAAATTTCCATTCTCTCAGCATTGAGTTCAACCACTGCCACCACCACCACCACCACCAACACCACCACCACCACCAACAACAACAACATAGAAGCAGCAGGACAAAAGAAAAGGTGACTTTTAGTTCAATAATGCTCACATTGCTCATTTCAAATTAACTGAAGATTTACTGGCATTCATCTCCTCTGAGATGCACAAATAAGTTGACATTAATTAAGTAAATACGTTATTTGTATGTTTTCCATAGATAGGTGATTTTTTTATCCATAACAGTTTTTAATTGTTAATGTATATAAACTTCATTAAATAATTCATTAAAAGTAAACCACTGAATCTTAAAAATAAATCAAACATACAGCCATTGATCTGATCCACACTGATTTGTTTTATGTTTTAGTGGCCTTTTAAGGCCTTGGATATAAGCTGTTTTTTAGATACTGTTGAGTAAAACATGCTATTAATTCAGGACTATTGTCAAATATAGAGTAGTAAATAATGCTGTAAGATGGCATGCCTTAACATTTCCTCCAGCATCTGGTGGAATTTTTATGTTTATCTTTGTAAGCTGTGTACTTAATAGGAGGTGAGGAAGCTAGTGCTTTGGTCCTTTTGTGAACCCCCCCCCTCCCGAAAAAAACCTTACAGTTTAAGGTTGCATGCGATTTCCATGATGTTTTGTTTTGAATCCCTGTGCTGATGTGAATACATCAGCACAGGGATTCAAAACAATGAATATTATCTATTTCTGGATACTGCATTTCATATTCTTGTAAGTGAAAAAAAAATGACATTTCACGGACATTATTTTAATAAATAAAAAGGTAAACTAATTTTTGTTGAATCATATTGATGGTATCTGACCTGTTTGTTTTACTGTAATTTGGGTCCTTTGTCACTTTATTAATATCGTTTTTATGAAGTAATGCATATATTTTCCAAAGTATTCAATGGATTTTTTTTTCTCCCCAGGATTGTCGATAATATGCCAGTTACATGGTGTTACCTTGTAGAGGGAAATCAACAATTTTGTTCTACTGGCTTTCCTATGGGGTGCTACGTTAATTCAGCCCAGCAGCCAAAGGATGCCTGTGTAATGAATGTGAGTCCAGGGTTTAAATTTTGCTATCATATGTTTAAATTATTTGAAATAAAAGGAGTAAAAGCCTTTCAGTAAAATATATTAATCAGTGCTTTCTAAGCAATAAAAAAAATTTTTTCATTAGGTTATACCATAATTAAATAAAAATTCATTCAAGTTACCTTTAGTAAACATACCTAGTATGTTTTCATACGTGTGAGTTTGGAAATGAAAATAAACCAATATTATATAACTCTGTTCTATTCATTGAAGCCTTATTATCTCCCTGACAGAAATACAAATGTGCAATTTTTAAATCAGGTACCAAGGTATCAAAGATGACTTTAAATAGTGGTCAACACTACATAAATAATAAAAGAACATTTGTTCCTTTCTCTCTTTGTCAAACTTTTGTTGAAATGTAAAAATGTAGTATATTTTACTATGTCGTAAAATGTGATAGTTTCCTAATTATTTTTTATTGAGACTTTCAAAAGCATAGAAGATAACTTAAATTTTGAAAACTATGGAAGTGTGTTTTTAAATTTGATTATTGCAAAATTATTTTTGCAGCAGAAAGTCATGCATGGTCATTGTAGTGAGCACATGGGTTAAAAATTAAAAACTTACTTGATCTGCTATAAAATTCTACTGGTTAATCTATTTATATAACTTTTAAATATTAAACGAAATGTGCATTTGTGTTGTAAATATTAATGGATAATGTTGATATGATGAAGAATTTAAGGCACTTGGTTAAATTGAGTTAAAATATTTTAGTTTGAAATTCTAAAAAAACTCATTTGAAGCATTAATAAGTTAGAAGCTTTTATAGACAGCCAGTCTGCTTCATAATCTGGAATTGGAATAAATGTCTTCATCAAGAAGATCTTTTATTGCTATTTCCTTCATAGTGTTTTTGACATAAATGTACTGTATATTTGAAGCTTGACAGCCACAGCTGTATGACAAATTGAAAGGAAGGTCACTATTGTAGCCTGGTCTCATAGCAATTCCTAATGCTTTTATAATTTTAAGACTGCAATTATACTGAGGTCTGTTGATCATTTTAGCATTGTCATTCAGGGTATCAAGTTTTGGATGGTCCAAGGAGTATTTTCGTGAAGATGTGTTACTTTCATTGCTGTATTGGTTGCTGGAGGGTTTAAATGTCTTTCTCCTGTTCAGCAGTTTTTATTGATAATTTTCTAGATACTGAATCAGTACACTGATTTCGTCATCATAGATGGAGGTGGTATGCATACTTGGTGTATCTTTTGTTGCTGTCTGATTTGTCCATTGTTAACAATTTCCAGATGGATGGAACTGTGGTTATGGAAGGTTTGTACCCAAATCTTTTGAAAACTGAACTGTTGCATCACATAATTGCATAATAGGGATTGCTTCATTTAATCTACTTCTGTCTGGTTCTTGGCAGTAGCAAATTTGCTTTTTCCATGTTAATGCAGAAATATGTCAGTTGATTGTATTGATAAATTTTTCAACAAAGTTGTTAAGGTTTCTTATTTACTGCAATTTATAAATATACTTTCATTGATTTTTTTTAAAGTTTAGGTATACAACAGCATTTTTCAACTCATGTTGAATAAAAAGAGTGATTTTATGTGAATGAAATGAAAAAGAAGCTTACAAGATTATTACTAGGTTGCCAGTTGGTTTATTGTAGATCGTAGGCTGAAGACTATTGCCAGTTCTTAAGATCAGATCAAGAAACTGAATCCTTTTAACCTTTTTATTGATCATAAACTGTAGGCTAGAGAAATTTTCTGAGATAAACAAAAATAGTGCTTTGAGTTCATCTTTTGAAAATTTCTATAGGACAGATCTCTTCCAAAATACAGGTTTCTGGGGTAATTTAGTTAAAACAACATTTTCTGTGTTGCATGTAACTTTCAGTCAGAATAGGTGAAGATGTCCATGGGAGTATTGATATCTTTTGTATAAAAAACTTTATTTTTACTAAATTTCCATTTTTTGGAAGATATCTTTGTTCCAGAAAAATATTCAGAAGATGGACTTAAAACATTATTTTCGCTTATCCCAGGAAACTACCCTAACCTGCAGCTTACAATCAACAATGAAAATACTAGCTGTTTGTATCTTGATCTCCTCAAGAACTGTTGTGCCCAACAGTGCCCAAGTGCTAGTGTCGCTGAACAGCCCTACTGTGCTATGTTGTAAACAAAATAATCCAGTCTTAAGAGCTGGTGAAAGTTTTCTGACTCCAGTATGTCGTAAATTAAGTGATAACCCAGCAATAATCTTTATTATGGGCTAAAGAATTCTGTTGTACACCAAAGCTCTAAGAAAATGGAATATGTCCATTCTACAAACTGAAACAAACAGTAAATACCTTATCTTTGTTAAAACTTTTCAATAACATCAATAGAAAAATTTTATGCAGTTAATTTAGAAAAAGTAAAATTTTCTGTGTGCACAAGAACCAAATTAAAGTAAATTCAATGGAAGATTTCCCTAGTACGTCATTATGTGATGCATCATTTTAGAAAATTTGATGCAAACTTGCCTTTACCCCTAATCCATTGTACTCTAAGTTGTTAAGAATGGACATATCGGATGCCAGCAAAACAGATCCAACAAGCATGAAAAGTTACTGTATCAGTTTGACAACTGGAAAATTATCTCTAAGAATTTCTGAGCATAAGAAAGAAAGATATAAACTCTCTGCCAGGCAAAACACCATTGCAAATAGAACATTTTTTTGTAAAATGCTCCATGGAACATGGAAACTCAGTAACCGAATGGGACATATAGCTAAAATCATCAACAAATCCTTCCAGAAAAGGAGCTTTAAAAATTGGGGAAGCATTAGAAATTGCCATGAGATGAAGATGCAATAGAAACTTTAATTTCAATGTGGCATACATCTGGAAATTGAGCTTTAAAATTACAGTAACTCTTTGTCAAGTAACACTGCAGGAAACAATAAAAGAAGGGAAAGCCATTCCATCTGCTTCCAGCTGGCAAAGAGTGTATCAAGCTGGAATATTTCTCTTGAACTTGATATTTATGTGGAGTTATTGGTATTCAAATATTCTCTCTCTCTGTATAGATGTATATATCAAAGATCTAATTAATTAATTGAAAAAAATTTCTTAATACTTGCAAAATAGCTTCAAAATAACTTAACAATTTATTTACTAATGGAATACTGAGTATATTATCTCCTTATATAAAGTTAGTAGAATTGTATCTGAATGGAGTACCCAGAAGCATTGACATTAAATTCCGAACAAAGATTTTTTTAAAAAGAAACTTGAATTTGAATTATGAAAAATAGAAATGGAAACTTTTAAAATGAAAATTAATCAATAAACCAAGTAATTATTGTCATTGATCGGAAATTGGTTGACTTTTCATGGGAAACAAACCAACCCCCATTCAATTAACAATAATTAATAAATGCAAAGGTGTTTTGTCTTTTGCTCAAGTAAGAAGTATTATGTCATATATATATATATATATATATATATATATATATTAAGATAATTGCAAATGGGGAGGAACTTGCAGTGAGTGTTTTCATAATCAATTTAAAATTGTATGTAAAGAAAATAGGAAAGAAAAAAAGCACGCACCTCTAGGATTATTTTGAGGTTAGTCTGGTGAGATATGAGGCATGTTGCAACATAATATACGTGTTCACTTTAAAACTGAATCCTTTGTAGAAACATCAATTGTACATAATTATTTGGCATACTTTGTCTGCAACATATTGGGAATGATATTCCTCCAGTTCAATGCATTTGCTTCATGATTCGTAGTGTTCTCAGGATCCTTAAGAGGCTTTTCTTTATCTTTATTTTGTGGATGATAGTAATGTGTGCAGCAGTTCCAAAATAAACGTATTGCTTATGTAGCAGGTTTGCTTTAATTATCTTCTAAAAAAAAAGTCTTTTCTAGTCAAGAATGGGAAATCTCATTGGTCATAATCTTTAAATGCAATTCTGTGATCAAAAACTACTGCAGGATCTTTATGGTGAAATTTGCTGTATATTTTTCACTATCTTGCCATATACGAGCATAACAATCATCTTCCTGCTGTAGGCAGTGAATTTCTAGGCAGCATCTTGATAGGACTTGGCATTGAGAGTTTCAGAGAACAGGAACCCTGTTATTCATTGTCTTGGCATTGCTCAGTAACTCAACAGGAGACTAAATAAACAGAGCAGGCCTCGTAGATTTAAGTTTGATAGCTTTTGCTGTGGAATAAGACAAAACCATGCCTCATTAAGGGCACCTGATATAAAAGGGAAATATTACCATGAATGAAGCTGTTATGGACAGTAGTCGTATGCGACACCCAATACGACAGTGTTGAAAATTTAGTCTTTGCAAAAAATACCTCAAACCTTTTCTTCTTCTGAAGAATTCATTATTTCTTCCAATACTAAACAGGTTTATGAATTTCTTAGGTATAATCAAACAGTATAGGCATTGGAAAACCTTTGTAAATAAAATATGTGTATAGTTTTTATACTTTTAAATGTTTGATACGCTTTTAAAACTATTATTGTGTATTTTTTGAAACTGATTGAAAGTAAATTAATTTTAATGATTCTGTTCTTTGCTTTGTCTATTATATTCCTTAGAAATTTATTCTGGAATGGAATATTATAATAGCTGTGCATGTGAGATTATTTCTGAAAACGTGCATATTGCTAGTATTTTTTTAATGTTTTATTACATTAAGGATAGGTTTATTCAGTAAGGAAAATTATTTTTATACACTGTTTAATCCAAACTTTACTCAAAATGCTTCATGATATATGTAGCAAACTGATTCATGTCTCAAAATTTACAACCACCGTAACATTTCATGTTTTTATAGCCAAAATAAATATCCCCAAATTCTATAATTATTCGTTAAAATTTGAAATAAAAATCTATCAATTTTACAGTTGAATTATTTAGTGTAATCTCATTATTAAACCACGACAAGAATGTTGTAACTGTAGAGGAATTGAAGTAAAACTGTTTAGCATGAATGACGGCCTGCATGTGCTAGGGTTATGATATAACAACAATATTGAAGCATATTCATACATCGGTATCAAATCAGAAGTGCTGTAATCATGAGAACATCAGTGCACCAAATGATAATTCATAGATGACAAGTGAACCGGTGATATCATATAACCTTAAATGTAATTCATAAACATTTTCTTTACTGCATGTTATTTTTAGCTGTTACATTACATTCACACATTAAGGTCACTTCCCTTATTGTCCATCACTAAGGCCCCCACTCAGCTACCTTCCCATCTCTATTGTGTTCATTTGTCCCATGTAGGCTAATCCTTCTTTTTCACTTCTCTTTCTAAGCGCAACATAGTTATCGCAATCTTCCTCCTCACTTGGAAGAACATTTCTGAAGAGAAAAAGTTCTTTTACCTTTCAAGTATAAAAGTGTGAGAGCTTATTTGATCTACTCAAGAAGAGCTGTATTTAAACAGCATTTATTAAAAGACTTTTATAAATACTTTTTTTTTGCTTTCATAATTTTGTATCAATTGGAATTATATTTACCTTTTTAAAGATCATAAGAAAGCAAATTATTTTGAATATCAAGATATTAAGTGAGAAAAAAAATCTCATGACCAAATAAAAGCAGTCATGCCTCTCAGGCAGTTTAAGTTCTGCAAATCATCAGGAGTTAAAGAGTGATTACACATAATATGCTTTTCCTTTCTGGGGGTATTCTATATACATTTTAGAAGTAATCAAATGCTGAAGATTAGTACTTCTATGTAGATTAAAATTATTCAAGAACTGAAAAGAACCTTTCTAATCACAGTTGCTTGAATATGAAAAATATTACTTTGAAGTATAAACTGCAAAATAGCATTTCAGACTCCTAATTCAAAGAAAAATTGTACGAATTACATTAATAGAAAATGGTGTAAGGAAATAATTTGTATAAAATTTAATTTAATGAACTAAATTACACTGAACAACAAATAATGCAAAATTGAATATAAAGTAGTTCAAACATAATATTTAAAGAACTTGTATTGAAACTGTGATGTTTTCATTGATTTTTTTCCCCTTGATACTTTAACCTCAAGAATTTAGCTTAAGACATGACTGTATGTAGGAGGAAGCTGAAGGGGCTGCAACCTCTCAAAAGCTGAAGTTTTAGTTCATAATTAAAATACAATAACATAAACGTTTGTTTCAGATAAAAGCCACAGCTTCTCTCCAGATTAAATCCTAGCTAAAGTATTGGCTTGAGTAGTTGCCGTTTTTTTAGCACTTTCTTTAAAATGTACGGATTTCTAATTTGTAGTCTTTGTCTAGGGGGATATCATGAATTAGTTTACGTCAAACCAATCTGTCATGTAGGATCTCTGAATGTGAAATTTCATTTATGTTTCAGCATTGCGATTCATTCATTGTTCTTAATAACAGCCTCTTTTTATTTCGTAGAGTATTATTTTTTCTATGTTGGGTAAGTTTTTTTACTCAAACATAAAACAGAATACTACTCTTTTTTTTTCATGTGTGTGCAAATATGCTTTTCCAGTGCTGAGTTGACTAATAAAATGAATTTCCTTTTGAAATTAAGTATATAATACTTATTTTTTAGATAAACTATTTTTCAGCTGAGGTTTTTTTTTTTTATTATATTGATCCAGTGAGCTTTTTTTTTTTCGTTTACTCTTTCTGTTAATAGAGCTACCAAAAGGTGAATATATCAGAATATTTTGCAGTCAGTATCCTGCAATTGAAAGAAAGCTCTCATTTGTGTTCTCTTTCATGAAACAAGCTGTTTAAGGATTACTTGCAATTTTTATGTCTGATACAGATTGTTTTTTAAGATCCACAGTATACTGAAGATGCATTTCATTAGCTTGTTCCATTTTTTGCCATTTAATATATTTGGCTTTTGTAAGTCATTATCTTGGTAGTGAGGTATATGTATTATTTCCATATGAAATAATGGAGCTATTATTATAGCATATTTCCAAGTATTTGCTTGCCACATAGAACTGCATTTGAAGTTGTACTTCAACTGTTGTAATATTGAGAACTGACATCATATTACATTAGATAATGCTGATCAGTCAATAGACTAAATGATGCATCTGTTTTCCCTGACAGTGGACTCATGAAAAAGTTACTAATGTCTCGGTAGTAGCAAAATCCATTTTGGAAACCCAAAGTTTTTGCCTAATTATAGATTCCATTTAAATAGGTTATGTTTCACTCTGCTGCAGGCGTATCACGGTATAAACTTCCTATCTCTGAGACTTCTATTTAAGATTTGAAGGCCTAAGCCTCAGGTCATAGGTGTCTTGAAGTCATAATCCTGCCAAAAGTACATGGGAAATAGGGGTCAAGGACTTTTGACAGAATGCTTTGCTATACTTTATTGATTTGACTCTGCACATTAATGCAACATTTTTCATTTAATGCATACTCATTCAACCTTATTAAGTTTTGCTTCCTGTCTATATACATGCTATTTCTTGTAAAAAGAGTAAATAATTTGTTAGTATTAAGAATATATAAATAATTATTAATTTATGTATTTTGAGTTTTTGGTGAAATATTTGTTCTGTTTCATGTCTTCTAGTAAATGGTTTTCATTTGTTTCATGTACTTATAAAATGTGAATGATATTTTTGTTTGCTTTTTTTATAAAATATACTCATAGAAACGAATTAAATATTTTCTAATTTGTATAATGTTGCACATGATTTGTTAAATAGTGTATAATAGATTATGAAAGATGATCTAATGTTTCATTAAAGTCTCGAGTTTTGTGAAGTATTGTGATCACTTTATTTGCAGACTGCATTCTCAAAGCGAGATACATTTTATCTTTTTAATCATGTGGATATAAAAATCATGTACCATAGTGGTGAAGATGAATCATGGGGAGTTGGCTTCAGAGATAAAGGAGGCAGAATTGTTAGAGTGAAAGTCAGACCAAGGAGGTATTTGTAAATATAATATATTCCTAGTTTAAGGACTTGTTTTCAAATGTATTTTCTGTTGGCTTTCAATGAAAGAATCTTATTATTTTGTTTATTTTTTCTTATTCTGGTTTATAATCATTTTTTTTTATTGACAGCTTGCTGCTAAAATTTTTTTATTTACAGCTGCTAATGTTTTATAATAATTTTTTTTAAAAAAAATTTTATTTACAGCTTACTGTGTTATTTTTCCATTTCCTTCTTGCAGAATTTTTCTTCTGTGCTGTTAAAGATGTTTGCAGTTTATTATAAAGACACTTGATATTGTTGTGTTCCTATCCCTTAAATCAATTCTGTGATAACCGAGAGAGATGGTTGTCTAATCCATGGCTACTGGAGATACAATAAGAATTTCCACCCAAACTTCTGTAACTTTTTCTAGGTGTGGACAGATGTATGGATTGTGTGTTGTAATGAAATAATTTCTAATGATTTATTGGGAACAAGTACTTTCTTTGAGGAACTGTGAATATGGTCCAGTTACTGGCAGTACATCTCTATATTTTGATAGTACCAGCTGGCAATAAAATGCAGTATTTAGCAAAAAATCTTGTTGATGTAATCTTCTATTTACAGTGGATCATAGACATTTTCTTTAGCCTACAGACAATTCTGTATGATGATTAATTCAACCGGTTTTTGTACAGAACTAATTTCTCATTTTATGAAAATTTGGATGCATTCTATCAGGCACCTTGTAGAGAACCCATTTGTGAATGCCAGTTACCACTAGATGCAGAAATCTGGATGCAGTTTTTTCAGGCAGGGTGTGGAGCCTAATTCCTTTTTTTAAAATTTTGTTGTTTTCTGATAACCCATGTCTATATTTACCACAAATTTCTAAGTTTGAATCTGCCTCTTCACTTTTGTCTTGAAAATTCCAACTTTCCACAATAATTTGCCACAATTTTTTCAATGTTGGTAAATTTCATTATTTTATCAGTTTCAGAAATCTTTGAATTGGTTGTCTCCATTATGAAAATGCCAAAATTAATACTGACAGGACTGTTCTACATCAGTTCCATGATATAGCATTATTGAAATTGAACACTACGTATCTTTCAACTTGCTTCTTCATTGTGTTCAAGATTGTACTCCTAAAAGAGACAACGCAGTGCTTCTAAACCTTTTTTTTTCCATTAATTCAACAAAAATAAAATGACTAAACACGACAGTAGACAGTCCTGTGTACTGCTACCTAATGAATGCAATAAATGAGTTTTTGAAAAGCTATGTGTGCTATTCAGTGTGTCATACTTTTAGTACTCTTTCCTCTGTGTAATGTGTGACAATGTAATGTGGTTGAAATGTTTACTCTCTGATAGTATGAAATCTGTGTGTGGTTTCACATATAGGTATGTTTTTGATTTTGTTTTGGTAAAATTTTTTGGCTAAAGTTATATTTTCATTAAATGCGTGATTAAATGTCTGTTAAGCCTCTTTGGTTAATTTTTCACTAAATCAAGCAAACACAAAACTGTTGAATATTCCTTATAGTATATGAAATCATAAAAGGATAACTTTCCTCTCATTCAGCAGTTTTAGCAATGAATGGAGAAGATATGTCTGACAATTTTAAGCAGATTTATGACATTTTATAATTGACATTTATTATTAAATGTTTTAATTTGATATTTTTTAAAATTTTCCAATATGGCAGGAGGGAAATTTTAATGGTGATAAATCAGTAATGGAAATTTTAAAAATTCCTTAAATTTTCATGCCTAAAGGTATTTGTACTTTGATTGAAAGCCTCACTAAATAATACAATCTGACCAAATGTTTATATGCTATTTTCAAAACTATTTTTCCTTTTTTTTAATATTTTAGCATCAAACATCAAGATGAGAAGAACTGTGGTAATGATCTCTTACCTATGGATATTCCAAATAAATTAGATCCTAAAGATGTTATCACCATAAACTATACTTATTCAGTGTCTTTTATTGTAAGTAATACATACTTTCTTTTCCATCAGCTCATGTTTTTCAGTTTTATAGTTTCTTTTCCTTTGTTTTCCTGAGTACCTTATTTTATGTCCAATGACAGTCCCATGTTAAAATGAAATTAACGTTTCAGATGAAGAAAGATGCATTTGATTCATCTTAATTTTGTTGTAATATGTGGTAGTTTTAATAGTTACGTCCTTATCAGATATACATTATGAAAAAATGAAATTAATATAGCATGTTGTCTAATAGTGTGCCAATTTTGACGTGTTATATCTCTTCACAACTGCTTTTCTGAAATAAATAAACAAGTCAATAGTTTACAGCAAAATGGGGACTTTTATTCAGAATTTAATACAGGATGATCAGCGAATAAACTCTGATTTCAAAATTAAATATCTCTACAACAAAGATCGATATAATTATACGGTAAACTGTACCTTTATTAGCAAAACTGTAAAAATAGTGTACAAAAGATTAGAAAATTTAGTTACGAAAGTCGTTAACAGATGGCGCTCTGATCACAATGACCTATCAATAGCTTTTAAGAATGGGCTTCGAATTCGAAAATGATCAGTACGAGTGTTAGCTAGTGAAAAAAGGCTAGCGTAGAAAGTGAAAAATAATGTATTCCATTGAACAACATGTTTTTTTGGTTCTGCAATTTCACCGATTAGAACACAGTCCTACGGCAACACGTCGCAATTTTCAAAACCGATTCAATGTTCCAGTTGAACCCTATGCAAAACACATTTGCATGCTCTTCGCGAAATTTGAACGGACTGGCAGCGGGGCTGATGATTGAAAGGGAAATATTTGGCCTAGGCAAACTGTAGTCACTCCTGAAAATGCAGCCAAAGTTTCTGGAATTGTAAAGTAAAATCCTAGGAAAAGCATCCAACGGATTGCATCAGAGACAGGTTTGAAGTACACGAGCACGCAAAAAAAATTAAAAAATAGCCTACGGCTGTTTCCATACAAAATCCAAAGTCATCAGGCCATACCCATGAAAACTGTGCAACAAAGGGTTGACTTTGCGAATCAGATTCCAACAATGGTTGACAACGACAGATTTCATGTGAGCTGCATCTGGTTCACAGATGAGGCACATTTTCATTTGAATGGAATCGTTAATAAAGAAAACTGGAGATTTTTGGGTTCTGAAAATCCTCATTCGTGTGAAGAAAAAGCACTGCATTCGCCTAAAGTTACTGCACGGGCTGCGGTATGCGCCAGAGGCTCGGACCCTTTTTCGTACGAGAAACGATAGCTACGGAATGTTACGTTACAGTTTGTCAGCACTCAACTAGCGTTGGAGGATCGACCAGGTATCGACTGGTTCATGCAAGATGGGGCTCGACCACATCCAACAGATAAAGTTTTTCGATTTCTTCATGAATACTTTGGGAATAGAGTAATTGCGTTAGATTATCTGCAACTTACTGACACAGGAATAGCTTGGCCTCCATATTCTCCGGATTTGAGTCCTTGTGACTTCTTTCTGTGGGGCGCATTAAAAGACACTGTCTATCGAAACAATCCCGCTACTCTAGATGAGCTTGAATTGTTGATTGGTGTTGCATGTTACTCCATTTCCCTTGATACATTGCAAGACGTGATGTCAAATTTCATTGTTCGCCACTTCATTGTTTCTAACGGTGATCATTTTGAAAAAATTGTATTTTGATTGCAAAGGCTGCTTCACTTTATTTATTATTTTTTTTTTACTCTTTTTAGGAAAAGAGATTTTAGCGCAGAGCGTCATCTGTTAACGATTTTCGTAACTAAATTTTCTAAATTTTTGTACACCATTTTTACAGTTTTGCTAATGAATGTACAGTTTACCGCATAATTCTATAGATCTTTGTTGTAGAGATATTTAATTTTGAAATCGGGGCTTATTCGCTGTATTATTTATAACACTTTTACCTGATACTTTGTTCACCATTCAAGGAACTTCCTTTATACCATTATATTAGTTTATCTGTGCTGGTATTCCTTCTTGCTTTTTACCTCAAACCATCTTTGTGAAAATACATCAGATTTCTATTCGTTCATGAATTTTTGAAAATATTTAAATGTAACTGTGGTATAAAATCAAATGCTGTAATTTAGCATCAAAAATTCATTTTTCTGTGATTGTAGTCATTTATATTATATTGGGATGTTTGGAAAGTAATTTCGTTTTTTTTTCCGCATGAAAATGAAAGATTTTCATATAGTGAATAAATATTTTATTGAATTATATATTTTCCATTCTGGTCCAATACCTTTTGACATCTTTATGGCAATAGCATGATTCCACGCTCATAATTTTTTGTCTTTCGTGGCAAAAAACTGATCCAGGTTATTTTTTGCCTTCTCATTTGAAGTAAAGGTTTTACTGTCTAAAAAATTCTGTGGAGACTGGAACAAATAATAAAGAGAAGGTGCCGTATCTGGAGAATATGGTGGATGTGGCAGTATATCCCATCCAAGCTGTAAAAGCTTTTCACAAGTTACGAAGCTTGTATGAGGTCTAGCATTATTGGTGGAACACTACACCTTTCCTGTTGATCAATTCTGGCCTTTTGTGTTTAAGTGAATCTTTCAGTTTGTCCAGCTGATGACTGTACACTTCAGAATTAATCGTTATGTTGTCCGGTAGAAGCTTAAGAAAAAGATTCCTTTTAAATCCCACCAAACGAATAGCATCACCTTTTTTTGACGAATGTCGGCTTTCGAAGTGCTTTGAACCGGTTTCGTCTCTTTTTTTTTTGCTGCATGATCTTCTGCATTTAACATTATAGTAGACTACCTACTTCCCCTCTCCACTGATCATAACACTTCAAAAATAGATAATTTTTTTTTAATGTTTGTGAAGCAAATCACAAACATCAATGTGACGGCACAAATTTTTTTCTTTGAGAACATTGAGGATTCATATGTCGAGCTTTGAGATTGAACATAGGCATTTCAAATGATCATGAGTGGTCGAATTTGATAAATTTAATCTCTCAGCAATCTCACGAGTTGTTATTCCCCGTTTTCCATCAGTTTTGGCACTGGCGTTTTCTCAATACATCTTTCCATACACATCAGATAATTTTTTCCTTGCTTGAACAGCATTTTTACCATTTTGATAGTAAAAAAGTGAAATATGCAAAAAATGCTGCTTTTCACTTTTCATATTTAAAAGGACACCAACCAAAAACTGCTGTGTAGAATCTATCAAAATTTTTCACAAGCAAGCCTTGCTATATCAGCTGCCAAAATACGTAATGACTATGGGGCTGAAGTGTGCAGTTTCTGAGAAAAAATGCACCTAAGCCGTCCATTGGAAAAAAAAATGAAATTTCTTTCTGAACAACCCCATAGTTGAAAGCCTTGTAAGTCCACTTCATCAGCAGAGAGAATTCAGGTACTCTCAAAATATGTATATTTGTGGAAAAGTTCATTTTACTTTCACTTGGCAGTATATGAATAGCATATTAACAAGTATTTAAATTTCCTTCATATTTTATTGATATGTTGATATGACATTCTTTTAACATTTTGTTGATTTTATATCTGCCAGTGCATTAGAAGCTGTGAATTTCTTTCCAGTCAAATTATTCTTTCTTTAAAGTATATTTCCTGTATATATATATTAACTCTTGCAGGTAATTTGTTGTTAAATGCATTTAGCATGTAACAATTACTACTAGATGTATAGCAGGTCTTTGAGTAAAGAGATGTTTTGAAATACCAAGCTGTCATTAGTTAGCCATAAAATTGGTAGTAAAGTACAAGACCTTAAATATCTGGTTGTAACAAAAGTTTTCTGCAAAAAAGTTCTTAATAAAATTAGGAAGAAAAAAAAAGTATGAAAGCAGTACCTTTAGTGTAGGTAGTAATCACCACCCAAATCTTGTGATTTTCTGCCAATGTTTTGGTAGTTTTTCAAAGCCTTTGTCCCAGAAACTTGGTGACCGTGAGTCCAAATACAGATCAACCTCATTTTCGACGCCTGTGCAGAATGGAAGCTAGCACGAGGAAGACCTAGCTGCAGTTGTGAGAAAAGTTAGAAGTCTGAAGGAGCGATGTTGGGGCTATATAGTGGGTGTGGCAAAAGATCCCATTCAAGTCCACTTGGTGAATTAGACACATGTGATCTTGCATTATCTTAATGGAACATTACCTTTCTGCGCCATAAGTCAGTTCAGCATTTTTCCTTGATAACAGCATCAACATGGACTAGCATCTCGCTATACACCTTACTGTCAAGCGTTTAACCTTTTTCCAGATACACTTTGTGGATAAATACCGAGGCAATCCCACCAGATGCAAAGCATGATCTTTTTGTTAGTCAAATAACACTTTGCGATGCTACCGATGGGCTCACTGGGTGCAGACCAACCCCCTTTTTGGCCTGTGTTGTTGAAGTAAATCCACTTTTTATCACAAGAGATGATCTAGTCCAGAATTTTGTTGTGTTGATATTCTCTAGCAGATTAGTGCAGGCTGGAACACACTGTCCTTATCTGCTTGAGTCAACTCATGTGGCACCCAGCAATTGAACGTGTACATCAAGTTTATGTGATGCATATTGCGACTAATAGACATGGCACTAATATCTAACTCCTTAACAAGCTCTCAAATTGTTGCATACTGATTTTCTTCCACTAGTTCTCGCAGGCAGCTCTCACCAACAGCCGGTAGGCTGGCCAGGGCTTTGCTTTATGTATGTCATAGTCCTTGTTTTTCAGCTTTCGGTACCAAACCTTCACAGTATCACATGATAGTAATATGGCATTAGTACTTAACATGATAGTAGTATGATATGATAATATATGTTAGTAGTAACATAGTAGTATGATATTAGTACCTAAAGTTGTGCACATGATTTCATGACATTCTGTTGCTGACTTTTTGTAACAGAACTGGAAGTAAATGATAGTTTTAATCAGATTTTCTTCCACAAGTGTGATAGTTCAGACGCCTTGTACTTAATGAAAATGATAATATTTTAAAATTTCACAACATAGTGGTCTAAAGCAAGTCTCTTTCTTTTAAATACTGAAAATTATTTGTCAAAATATGATTAAACATGCCAGCGCGAATCGTTTGTGTAGATGATATTTGTGGTTGAAGGAAACTTTCGTTAAAACCCGATATTTTATCTCCCATTAACTGAGATGCCCCATATTGTATTACAACACACACAGAAATTGAATAAGCTGTGCTCTGAATTTAGGACAAAATGATTCTAAGTTAAGTAATCCATAACCAAATATTCCAAATATTCCATCTAAAATGGTTTGTGGTTATTATCGCAAAACAATATTTTCTCTTTTAAACACCTTTCTAATTATAACTAGAAACTTAGCTGAAAAATGTGTAATACACAGTTGTCCTTTATAAGAGAAATATTCTGATGCTTTTGTATGTGTTAAAATGTTTTTAAGGAAGTTCCATTGCAAAATCAAATTTGCTTAACACAGTGATAGCCAATTAGGAGATTGTCTGTGGTATATTTGGTTGAGAAGAAAAAGATGTTAAACTGAGGAGATCAGAAAAGCCGTGAAAACACATAATTTGCAGATTCATCTTTTTTCTGCACCTGTAATTTATTATAATAGGCTGCTGACTGCTTTAGCAAAACAAATCAAAACAGGTTTATTAATTAATTTGTAGTTGGTTACTAAAAGAAACATTCTCTCGTGTATATCAAGTACAAGATACCTTGTAAAACTTTCTTCTCCCCCCCCAAAAAGGAGATGTATGGTTTTTTTGGTGATTACTGTGTACCATAATTACTATTTTAAATAATATGTTTGAATTAAATTGACTCTTTTGAGATCCAGATCTTGAAAATTTGGGTCTCATATTTTCACTAAAATTTCTGCAGTTAGTCAGTCACCATATTAAATTTCATGTGTAAAATCATATTAAGCCATATATTTCTACCAACTTCAGGCTTAAACAGTTATTGTTGTAAGAGAGTAACTTTCATGAATAATTTACACGTCTGTTTGCAGTTAAAATCCACAGCCTTTCCTGTTTCTCTTAACACGTTTGTCTAAATGGTTTTCAAAATCCCATCTAGCACCTTAAGAGTTTTTCTTCGTATATATCTAATTGATTGCACATATAATGTAATCAGTTGCTATTATGAAATCTCATATGGTGCATTTAAATTTTTACTGATTAATGCATATATGATGCATTTAAAAATTTTAATTGTTATATTTAAAGGTAATTACCGTGCAACTCAGTGTCTGGTTTGTCAAGGGGATTGAGGAAGGGCAGAAAGTGGCATTTAACTTTTCTTTTTCCTTTCAAATTTATACTGCTGGTCTTTTTTACAATATCTCCATACTGTATGGTGTCTTCATCATGCCAAAATTCTGGGCTTGTGTGTGTGACAGTACATTTACTATAAATGTGAAATTGCATGCAGACATATTTATACTTAATGCACATTTAAAAAACTCTTAAGCTTGGAAACAAACATATTCTTTTCAAGATATTTTTTTTTAATTTCCTTTGAACCAAACAAATCAGTTAAGCAAAGCAGTGTAAGGTTCAAATACCAGAAAATTTTAAAATTTATAGAATATTAACTTATAGAGTATTAATATTTAACTTATAGAAAACTGTTTCTTTAAAATCTTTTTCAGACGAAATCTATCATTTATAAGCCTTTCATCTCTAAAAATTAGCGGAATTTAAGTTAATGAGATAGTTTCAGAATTTGTTTTGAAAGTTTAGGACATAAAAAATTACAATCTGAAGAGTATTTTGTCATCAGAAACTAAGTTACTATCTTTCCAGATGCAGATATCTATAGCAGTAAAATGAATGAAAGTTATTCTAAATATTGTGAACTTAAATTTGTTTTCACATTATAATTGTTTCTTTTGCAGTTATTTTGAAAACATTTCAGATACTTGAAGAAAGGTTGTGTAATTAATGTATGTGAATATTGCTTTCATTAAGTGTAAAAATTTAATTTTGCATTGTTAGGATATCTTTCCATATTTTTTTCCGTACATTTTACTTCAGAAATATTTTACTAGGAAAGAAATCTCTCTCTCAGCTGTATGAAAGCTAGTGAGTGAGTAAATAAAGTAATCTATACTTCCTCTATTATTTGAAATGCAGCAGTGTTTATAATGGATAATGAAATACATTTTAATCACAGAGGACATTCATGGTTATACAGTTGAATACTGCTTTTTAAATGTCCAAAATAATTTTCAGTGTTACTGAATTATTTAGAAAAGACAAGTACAGTAATTTCCATGTCAGAAGGTAACTGCATACCATATATTTTTTAATGTCCATTAAAAATTTGCATTTTCTCTGATTCTTTCTTCTCTATGTATTTAACACACATATTTTTGCAATTAATACATTCTATTGCAACTTTTTTTTATAAATTTTCTTTTGAAGGTTAAAACCCCCTAATTTAGTCTGTAAACCTCTGAAATAAGCATAATATTAAAAAAAATAATTACATTGTCAATTAATTTTTAAATTATTGTCAGCATTGTCAATTAAACAATTTAAGTAATTAAAAAATTACAAGATCTTCATTTTTAACAACTTGCTCACTAAACTGAAATTACTTCTCAAGTGCATAACATAAGCTGATTGTTGAACCAGGTTTGGTTCATCAGCATATCTGATTGGGAACTTACAAGACAGTCAAAGGTCACTGAAAATAAATGCTGTTTTTTTTTGCACATTTATGAATTTATTCTGATTTCTTTATTTAGTTTACAAAGCATTTAAGGGCTATTAGAAGGATGCTTTCTATGTTTCAGTGTTTAACATTAATTGTAAGCACATATTTTTGTACAAATATTGCCAGGAATGATATAAATAGACAAAAGTGGATTGTATTGTTTTTCTTTCCATTAGTAAAGTTACATGCTATGAAAAACAATATTTAAATTATTTTTTATTATTGACATATGTGTGAATGAAAATACAGTAAAGTTACATGCTAATTAAAGCAATATTTAAATTATTTTTTATTTTTGACATATGTGTGAATAAAAATACAATAAGTCTGCATTAACACAAATCTCAAGGAACCGAAATATCAAGTTTGTGTTAAAAGAATTCATATTAAACAGGGACTCAAAATTTAGTTTTGGTATAGTTTTTCCTACATATTAATCATCTATATATATAGTTACATTCGTACTAGAGCATATTATGTACATCTTAATAGAAAATGCTACAGTGTTACATTAATTACTGTACTGCAACTTGAAAAAAATGTACTTCTGAGGATTTTTGGTGAAAAATTCCTGTATATTGCTTTGTGGTAGATGGGAATGAAAATGCTTGGTAATTTCATGAACAACCGTAGTCTTGACTTGTGTAAAACTGTCAGTCAGTTAAAAGTATTGCAGCAAAATGTCCTAAAGGGTCCAAGGCATCTAACACTTCCTGGTGGGTGAATGGAATGATATTGCCCTCCTCACTTTCTTCTGGTGACATTTCTTGCACCTTCATCACAACTGCTTGTATGTCAGGTTCCACTGAAGCATACTTAATGACATTGTCATCTGCATTAACAGACTTCTCAAAACTAACATTAGGTTTTGCAACGTTTATAGAATATTACATTCATCATGTGAAGTGATATCATTGTCATCATCTAACTCATCAACAGGGATTAATGTCTTTATGTTTCCATGCTCTTCTAAAACAGCTCTGTATGTGTTGTGATGACATGGATTTCAAGGATGTGGGGATAGCTTTTATTGGATCAAGCACACTTCAAGTTGGTATTTCCATCACCATTTCAACAGTGCAAATTTTACCTGATTAATTTAGAATTATTCAAGGTTCACCATCAGGCTTACAAGTTAACGTTTTAAAGAACAAAAATGTTTATCTGAACACAGAATTGCGTTTAGTGATTATTTTTTAGTGTTCATTGTTGAGACTATGATCCCAACTGTTGAACTGTGTTACATGTTGTATGTGTTAAAGAATACTGTGTATTTGGTGAGGTTTCACATGGAGCGAAACATTTCTGAGTGCAGCTCTAGTGGAGAAACAACATGGAAAATGAAATCTGAAAAACTTTGAAAATTCATGTTAATAAAGTCTAATAAATAACACAACAGACTAAAAAACAGTTCATAATTTGTGCTAACTGAAATTCTTGTTAACTGATAAAACTATATAAGATCATTTGCATCATTACCGAGACTCAAATTTTACCTCAAGCGAGTTCGTGTTAAGTTCCATTTACTGTATATAGTTGAATGTACTAAAATAATTTGGTAAATTCTAACTAATACTAAATAATATAATGTTTTAAATGCTTTTATAAATTTCTGCCAGTTGTTGGTGTCAACCAGTTTCTGCCACAAGGAGAGCTCTCCTTGTGGTATTTTTGCTGTCAAAAAGTCAACCTTGAGTGTAAATCATAGATAGGTTGAATATTAATTCTGTTTACACAGTTAATCGATTAGTGGTTCCTTAGGTCACAGGGATCTGCTGAAATCAAATATGCTGTTAATTTAAATTGACTTAAAAAATTAGTATATAGAAAATTTAATGTAAACAATATAGTAAATTATTTTGAATGTTACATTTTTTTATATGTTAATACTTATGTTACAGAAAGATAATTCTGTGAAATGGTCATCTCGCTGGGATTACATTTTGGAGTCAATGCCCCATACAAACATTCAGTGGTTCAGGTAATTTTTTAAAAAGTTTTCTTGGTGTGAGAAGTAGCCTTAATGGAGTATCCTATTTTTATTATATTTTGTTACATTGAAAGTTTTATCAGTTTATAATTGTTTAATTATTCAAGTTATCTAAAAGCAATAACCATACTTCTCAAAATGGTAATCTATTATTTTATTCACGTTAGAAACAACTGTAATGGAATATCTCCAAAATATTTTGAATATTAGATTACATTCCGTTCGTTATCTTGCATTTGACACCCACGAGACTTGAAAAGGTTAACAACTGCACAGAATATAACATCCTTATGTTCCTTGCAAATTCTCAAAATGTTGCATGCAGAAATGGACTTTCACAAAATATTTTATCTTTCCAATTTGATGAATCTTTTGCGAAATCTAATGCAAACAGAAAATATTCTAGGCTCACTTTACCTTCTGCTTTGATGTGACATTTTTATTCCAGCCTTTATTTTTCACTGCAAAATTTAGGATGCCTAAACATTTTCAAAGCATTCTGGAAGTCATAAAATGCATATTTTTGTTTAGGTATATGTAATTAAAAATAGGAAAGATATTACGAAATAATCCATGTAAACATGTGAGGTAAAATTAAAAGGCAGTAGAAGTAGGTATAGATGTATCATTTCATTGAAACTTATCAATCATTTTCATTATAAATATGAAAATAGATATCTGTAATACTATAAAACTTTTACTTTATAACCAAGTCATATGATCTTTTCATTTAACTTCGGGTAGATAACCTGCTTGAGGATAAAATGCCCTGGAAGTAGTAGTCAGTAGTGAAAATCTGTTTTATGTATTTAATAATATATTTAATATGATCCAAATAATAATTTTTACAAACATTTACAGTTTTATTGTAATGAAGAAAGGTGTTCGTAATGCCAGATTTTATGCCTTTTGTTACAAATTCATTTGGTTAGTATATTTTATTGTATATGTGTCAGTCTCCTTCAGTTGATCATTTTTTCAGCATTTTGAATGCCCTTGTGATTGTTCTTTTCCTTACTGGAATGGTAGCTATGATTTTACTGCGAACTCTGCATAAAGACATTGCTCGATACAATCAGAGTGAATCAGTGGTATGTTTTGTTTTGTTCTTATTTTTTTTTCTTTTAATATAGAACCTTTTTCTATGCTTTCTTTTCTGATATAAAATGTTTAAAATTATCCCAATGCTAAGCTAAAATATTATATTAGCTAGCCTTTTTTATGTAAGTATCTTTGTTTCTGCAAAACTTAAATATAGGTTGATAATTTAGAGTTAAATTAGAATTTGTATTTTTTACATTGGTTTGATAAAATCTGTTAGTTTTGGTACCCTCCTAGTAAAATATGTTAATATTGCCTTGTATTAGATATTAATACAAAATTTTAACATTTTAAAATTTTAAGCATAATATAATAAAATTAATTTGATTTTATAAAATCAGAATTATATTGTTAATTGTATTATTTTAAAGGATGATGCTCAAGAAGAATTTGGTTGGAAGCTTGTGCATGGAGATGTATTTCGTCCTCCTCGAAAAGGAATGTTACTGGCAGTTTTACTGGGTAGTGGAGTTCAAGTGTTCTTCATGGCTCTGATAACACTATGTGAGTTTTTGCATTTACTTTATTATAATTTTGAATCTAATTAATATGTATTTCAATAACGTTTTTCTGTTTCGTCCCTCAGTTTTTGCGTGTCTTGGATTTCTTTCTCCAGCTAATAGAGGAGCACTAATGACATGTGCTATGGTAAGTAGTATCTCTGTAAAGCATTTAAAAAATTTAGGGATATGTTATTGTTTAAAGAAGACTAGATAATCAGTTTACACATATATATATATACATTGGTTATCAAAATTAAAGGATGATGACAAAAAATATGCTAAGTTAATGTTGCAACCAGTGCCTAATGCTGAATTTTTTATGTTAATTAAATGCAAGTAAACTCAAAACTGCACTTATTTTAGCTCCAGAAATATGCAAATTCGGTGATTGACAGTGTGGTGTACAATGGACACATAGTGGAATTCTGGTCTGTAGTGTTGTTTAAAGTGAATATGCTTTCTGAGAATAATCAGTATTTACTAGTTATGGCTCAGAGGCATCATTTAAGTGGAAGTCAAAAGTTTCAAATAATTGGTAGAATTGAGGGAGGTCAATACAAATGGAAGCTGTCCAAGATTGGGATATTCCGTCAAAGTGTCAAATCAGGAGTTTGGAGCCACCTTTTTAAGCAGTGGATCAGTTGACAAGCAGCCTGGTCAAGAGCAAACAAGAGTACCAACTGCATCTGAAGACCGTTTTCTGTTGTCTTTGGCTGGAAGAAACCGCGAAGCGACTTCATGAGATTTGTTTAAGACCTTAAAAGGCTGCCACAGGAAGTCGAATTAACTGTTCTGCTGCACGAAGGCTTCATGAGGTTAGATTATATGTGAGAAAAACAATGATTTCTGTCCCTTTCACTCCAGCGCTCAGAGGGGCTGATTTAAACTAGGTCCGTCCTCATTTTCAGTGGAACAAAGATGACTGGGCCCAAGTGTTGTTTACTGACCAGTCCAGATATAGTCTGAACAGTGATTCTACACGTTTTTTGATCAGAGAAGAGGAAGGAGCACACAACTTGCTTTTCCTTGTCCATGAAATATCCTGTTTCCGTGAGTGTGGCTTAATGATTTGGGGAGGAATCATGACAAATGGTCTCACTGAGCTGCATTTCTTTCAGGGAGATTCCGTAACTGCTAAGAGATATATGGATGAGGAATTGCAGCTCCAAGTTAGACTGTTGAGGGGTGCTGTTGGCTCAGAGGTTTTGTTAATGGATGACAATGCTTGGCTTCGTCGAGCATATGTAGTGTTATATATGTAACTGTATCTATTATTATCTTTAATCATAACTGTAATATAGAATAGTAGATGAGCAATGTAGAATAAACTATGTTTGTGAACATCTGGTAATCATCACTGAGCATATACCCAACATATATAAAATACAACACATGTAGTGTCAGAATACTTGCAAACAGAAAGTTCCTCTCAAATGAATTCTCCATATTACTTGCGTGACTTGAACAGGCTTGAACATGTATGGGAGACCTGAGGGTGCTAAATTTCATCTCGCCTAGAGATGAAGAGTGGTTTTAGAAGAGTAGTGAAGAATTTCAAAAGACTTGATCAAGACTTCTGCAAAGTCTATGAAATCAAGAAGTGAGGTATGCACATCTGTCCTAGCGACCATACACCATATTAAAGGAAAATACAATTTTGCAAGAGGTGACTTAATTTTTGCATCATTAGTCAAAAGGTTGAAAACCACTGACTTACGCTAATCAGAAAATGTATCCCTTGTCAAGCAATTTTTTTTTTATTTTGGGAGAGCTTTAGGGTTACATTTTGTAGTATTATTTTAAGAATTGCCAATTTAAATTATTTAAGTTTTCTCACACATATTTTTAACAATGGAAGTAATAACTTCATTTCTATTTACTGAAGGTATTTTATACCTCTCAACAAACTCTAGAAGCATCTACTTTCTTAAAAAAGGTAAGAAGTGGGTTCCACTGGTCGAGGCTTCTAGATAAACATTACTCTAAAGATAACCAGCATGTACGTACATATTGCAAATGTTCTCTTATTTTAGTATTATACAGCTATTGGAATTTTTAAATTTTTTTTTTCCTTTTAGCAAACTTTCCAAGATAATAAATATCAACAATGTGTTCATCAACACTTATTGGCAAAGCAATAAGTGTTGTTTATTTAGCAATAAAGAAGCTGACCCTTCTTTATGGCTAAATTTAAGAAGTGACAGGTGCATTTCATAATTTGCAATGAATTATCTTTTTTTTTAAATGCCTGCAACATCAGTCTTCAAGTCTTCAATTCCTGGTGCGGCAACAACTGCTAAGCAATTATACTGGAGAATTGAATTTTCTTTTAAAATTTTAATAGTTAGCTATATTAAAGCCTGTCAAATCTCTGTCAAAGTGGGGGACAGAAAGTGAACTATGCTTAATTTCTGAAGACTTAGATTAAAAAAAAGAAACAATAATTAGATACAGTTTTGCATCAGTATTATTGCTTCCATCCGTAGAGAGGCAGAATTGAACTGTTTTAATGCAATCAGTAACTGAAGATTTATATTTCATACAAATTTTTTTAACCCGTTTCTACAACGGCAACCGTTTTTGTCCTTGCACTTGAGTATTTTTTAGAGATTTCCCTTCTGGGAAATGTTTTTCTAAAAAAGCTGCAACATTATCCAATACATTCAGTGGCAGATGCTCCAGGAAAATGCCGAGAACAGGCATTGTGCATTAATGACTTTTTGGTCCTTTTTTCTGCAGAAAAATTTAATTTTTTTTTCAATACAACTCACGCTGTCCTTGTGTACACATGTATTTGTATGTTGAAGAACATTGGCTCTTCCACCATGCAAAATCGAAAGATTGCAATGACAAACAATACACACTGCAATATTACATTTTCTGCGGGAAATAATGGAAGGAAAGTCACCTGTGTATGATTTTTGAAAGCTACATGAATATTTTGCATTTTTTGCAGACATAACTAAGGCAAATGATCACAGTAACTCTTTCTGGAAAGCGTGTGAAACTTATGCTGCTCACTGGCGAGACGAACGAAACAACAACCTCAGTCTTGCTTTGTGCTCATTGGCTAATATATGCCAGATGACATGCAGCGGTGCTTCATTCTTATTGGAGAACTGGGACATGACATTTTCGGACTCTTATACACAAAGCAGAAACGTGCCATATCTCAGTGATGAAACAGATTGACCTTTTTTTTTATAGGCATCTAGAGAAAAACAAGCACTTTCAGCCACCAAAAATCCTTTTTTTGGTGCAAATAATAAAGTATTAATCCAAACTACATAAAGTTTGTGAGAAAATTTAAGAATAAGAGAAAGTCTGGAGAAATGTGTTGAAAAGTGGGTTGGCAGGAGTACGATTGGAAATCGGGAGTCTCCCGCCTAAATCTGAAGAGTTGGCAACTCTGTGCTAGCAAATGAGATCATCTTGCCAGAACATTTTCTGCCTAAAGGGTCTCAAAAGAGTCATAGTTATACAGCAGATGTTTACCTCAAAAATGCAGCTGAGCTGACATTATTCATAAAAAAATCCAGTGTTCTGAATAGCATCTCCAGACTACATGTTAGACAGTAATTGAATTTAATAAATATAGATGACAAAGCAACTGTTATTTAATTTTTTTTTTTTTTTTTTTTTTTTTGCATAATTCAGAAGAATATTGCTTATCTGGGTTTCTCTTATTTCCCATTTTCTTGTGCAAAAAAGTGAAAGTTTGATTAAGAGTTGTTGACTAATTAATTGGAATCGGAATAAGAATTTTACAAGCAGACAAAATGATTTCTTTAGTGGCTTATATTCTTACAGATGTCCTTATTCAAGTTGTTTCAATTTCACTTGTGCTAGATATGAACGACATGTAGGGGCAAATAACTCTCTTTCCTTTCAAAATAGTAACTTCTTGCTTTTAACAATTTCACTAAGAATGAGTGCTAATTTCGCTAAGAATAAATATAAAAGGAGGTGCTGCTTCTGGTTGTTTCACCCCTGTGACTATATTGTGCAATAGGGGAGTGATAATTGACTATTTTAGTGTCAGTCAAAGAGATACCTGTATATAATCTGCACTTTTAAAATGTAATTTTGTATACTTAATAATAAAGTACAATTTTATATCAGTTAATGATTCAGTTAATGATTCTAATGTGACCTATTATTTTAAATTAGTAAATTGCTTTGAAATAATTATAGACTGTTGGATAACATTTTGTTTTATCTGCCTTCTGATTAAAAAGTATCAGAACTCAGAGTAAGGGTTTAAAATGAAAACTATTTACTAACATATTGACCTAATGTTTGCACAAACTTTAGTTACTATTTCAATGATTTTTGTGCATGCGTCTTATAACTTTGTGTATTTTAAGTACTAAGTTGATCTGAAAGGAATGCAACACACATATTGTTGCATGTATACGGTTTCGTAATAGATGGAATACACAAGTCTGATAATAAGTTAATAAAAATTCATTTCTCTCAAAAGAAATATTTGGGAACTTTGGAATTTTCCACAGAAATATTTGTATAAGTGTTCACAGTATCACACAGAATAATCGGTAGTTACACTTCAATCTATTAAGAAGGTTAAACGCAATGCAATGCAAAGCTCATCTAAATAGAAAGCTAACTCGATTTATCTCATTTCAAGCCAACTACAACTCACAACAGTAACTAAGCAAGATGAGAGCAGATGCTCTCTGTTTGGACTTAAATACTTTTCGACCAGCCGCCGAGATATTTCTAGTGCTTTCTGCTTCTTGAAATTACGGAAAAGGAATGCGAGAGTGGAACTACGGTTACAGCTAACATAGTGGTCCATTACATTTATTATATTTCAGTACATATTACAATGATACAGGCACTGAACACGAATTGTTGTCAGCCTGGCAATATCTCGCCAAATTACCGAGATTTCCATTTACTCAATGTTAAATGCACTTGTCCTTGTATTCTTACTTTTCCGGCATAGCTTCTCTTTAAATTTTTCATGTTAGAAAATAAAATTACTTAGAATTACTTATAATTCTACTAAAATACCTAAGTACAAAATTTATAACAGTACGTTCTTGATTATGCACTTTTAAATATGTAATAATAAAATCGAGAAGTTAGTTTGTGTAGGATTATTAATATTCTACTTGTATTTTATTGATATGGTTATTATTAATTACTTATTCACAGCATGAAAGTGTTTCTTTTATAAAAAATTTTGTTCATATAGAAAATTTGGTATGATGAAGTTTGTAGAATTTATTGAATCCTGAAGTCTGGCATGGGAAAGCATATAAAACACTTGGAAGTTTAAAAGAACAGGATTAGCATAAAATAAATGAACTCTTCCGTTTTGCTGTTTTTGTAAAAAATGTATTTGTTATGAAGTATTATTAAGTTTGCATCATTGTTTCTTATACAGGTATTGTATGTATGCCTTGGTACACCTGCTGGTTATGTTTCAGCACGAATGTATAAAGGTATGAGTTTTGATTTGTATCTGAGTTTTAAATGTTTTCTGTCTAATATGAGTGTACTGTAATAGCACTCTTTGTAAGCTAGAACCGCTGTGCCATTACATTGACTGCCCTAGTTCTAAAAGGTACATTGGCAGTGATAATCTCATATGTAACTTTTTTTGAGGAGGAAAATTCAGTTTCTATTTTTTTTTAAGAAATATATTGCAATTATGACCTGTGACAATATGTGTGGTTCCCATAGATTAAAAATTACAGTGAAAAGGAAACTGATAATCCCTTGTTGCCTAAAGAATGTCACTATAATCACTTTACCTTATAAAATCATGCCTCAGTAATTGATAAACAATGTTTCATTTAAGTTTTCTGGAAATGCTTTGTTTCTTCATCTGAAGACAAGCTGAAATGAAGAAAATTGGCCCTAGTTTATTACAAACAATGCTGTTATACATTTCTTGCATAATTTAGCCTGAATCTGAAAGTATTGAAATGACTTTCCACCCAATTTACTTTGTTTTGTCTATTTTACACTCATGGTTTAAATTGGATTAATTTGTCCTGGCAAAGGCACACCAGCGGCCAAGCGGTAAAGACGCTGAACACTGGTAGTTCGGTCCGAGGTTCGAATCCCCTGCATGGGGGTTTCATGGTTTTTCCCATGTGTAATGTGTATACGAGCCATTTTCCCTTAGAAGGTCCTCCAGGAAGGCATCTCTCCCTTTAGGCAGATAGCCCTCATGTGCTTTGCCATAATTAAATAATCCAATCCAATCCAATCTTGTCCTGGCAAAGTACACAGAGGCAGATTGCTTATGGAGAGATGCCTTCATTAAGAATTTTAAAAGGGAAGCTGTCTGCATTACTATACATGAGAAATTCCATGAAAACCTTTACCAGCTCATTCAACTGAATGCTGAGAATGAAATCTAAGGCAATATACACTGATGAAATAAATTAAGAGAATTTTCATATTTTATCGAATTGCATGAAAAGAACTGAAGGAGAAACTGCTGCTTCTAGATAAAAATGCAAATCTTGTACAGCAAATATGTAAGTGTACACGTGTATGTAGGCGGAACCATCAGAAAAACAGGCTTTATAAGTGCATGGAAGGTAAGATGAATTGCGTTTGCTAGCACACCTCGGCGAATTTCTTGGAGTTATCTTGCAGCAATTTATTTAAAATTCACATCAGAACAGTAAAACTGAGTAATTACCAATGTTTAGATGATGGAATGAGGTGGCGAACTGTGGGGTCAAGCCAATCGCAAATCCAGATGTGCAGAGAGTTTAATTTAACGTACACCGTCGATTCAAAAGTTCCAACAGCTCCAAGTTCCGTTCTGTTCACTGACACATCCCGTTTTAGCCTAAACACTGATTCTGGCAGTACTATCATATGGAGAGAGCCAGGGACCTGCTACCTACCCTCCATTGTCCGCAAAATCAACAAATATGGCAGTCGCGGTGTAATGGTCTGGGCAGGCATCATGCTAGATGGCCGCACACCTCTCCCCGATAGAGGCTCTGTGACTGGTGTAATGTATAAGGTTGGGGTGTTGGAGCCCTATGTTCACCTTTTAAGGGGTGCAGTGGGCCACGAGTTCATCTTATAGGATGATAACCTGAGGCCACATAGACCTCTTTTCTCCATCCAGGAACTGAAAACAGAATTGCTGTATGAGTGGGACTAGTTGCCACAGGCACTGATAAACTGCCTTATTTCCAGTTTGACATCACGTTGCGAGGCCAGTATGGCTATAAGAGGGGACCATACTCCCTATTAACCCATTTCTTTTGTGTCTTCTGCAACCGCTGTTTCAGACCTTCAGACTCCCATGAGTGTTACACAGGAACATGTGTGTCTTTTATAACTGTTGAATATTTGTCTTATATCAACCTATGTTCACACCAAATTTCATTAAACTCTGTCCAGTAGTTCTGGAGATCATAGAATCAACTATGAAAATTCTCTTAATTTATTTCACCAGTGTATGTGCATTGTATCTGAAATGATTAGGTTAAAAAGAAGATATATCCAAAGTTGAATGTTTGTTATATTGCGATTTACATAGATAGAAAAAATTATAGTACTTCTTTGTTATAGTGGTCCCTAACCATGTTTGGAGATTTTAGATTTGCGCCAAGATCTCAGCTATAATTTTGCCAAGTTCATGAAGCATGAATATAAAAACAAACGACACAATATATAATAATAACACTAATATGTGTTGTTTCCTAAGAATATTTTTAAGAATCCTTATTGGTACTTTTTATTGCATGTAATTGTTCTAGTCAACTGGAGCACTTTTGCACATATTAAGCTGTTTGTTACACCATGCCGAGAATACATAAATCTAACAGCAGTGTTAAACAATATTCTGGAACTACTGAACCAATTTCTAACACAGAGGCATTTCTTTTTTTCAATTTTTAATATTTTGCTTCCAGATAGTTTCATCATTAACATATTGTTTCATGTTGTGGCCATTTTTGCATACTCGTTTGTCAGGCAAAAGTTAATGTCATAGTCACATTAAAGCAGTGAATATATTTTTTTAATAAAGAATGTAATTTCAAAAACCTCATCAAAAAATCAGTAATATAAGAACACGCGGCAAAAATGCAAGATTTTGGTAATATACGATTGTGAGGCAAGGCATAAGAACACACAGCCAGTCCTAATGTATGATCATGTGGTGAGGTATAAGAACACCTAACCAGATTTTGGTGAGATATCTTGGTTGATTGGTGGTTCAATCTCGAGGGCTGCTAAAACAAAGACATACCAAAATTATTTTAAAAGTTTTAATGCTGCTTTAGGTGAGTGCCATATATAGCTATCTCATTCTACACATTAAATCACATTACTGGTATGACCAGTCGTATCACTTCCTTAATTTAGGACTGCAAATCTACAACACTGTCCATGGGCATTTCATTCCCTACTCACAAAAAGTGTTTCTGCATATACACCCCTTGTCCCTCACAAAAAGAAACCCAAAGGTTTGGCTTAGACCGCTATTCCCCCATCCAGCTGTTGGGCAGTATTATCATACTGCCTGACTGGTAAACCCTGGAATGATTGCATGATCCTCATTTAGAGTGGAGGAGGCCCTTCCTGTTTACATATCCTAAATGGGGATTGACTTTACTTGTTTTATGCATATCTTATTAAGATGCAAGAAACGACTAAACTCATTAAAGCACAAGAGAAAACTAAACTTGTTTTGTGTAGCTTTTTAAAGCATGGAAGATGACAAAACTCGTTTTCTCTGAATTATCAATGGATTTTTGATGTTGGTGTGTTTTTTGGTAACAAAGCGATTTTTTTACAAAAATTAGACTTTTTTCTGGTAAATTTCTAAAAATGAACGAATATAGAATAGAATGTGATGATGAAGAATTGTATGCAGATAGCTTGCCAAATTATTCATGTGAGATTGAACTTATGAATGATTCTAGTGTCTGATTCTGGGGAAAAAAGAAATAGTCATCAGTAGACAATCCTCCAACCTTAGAAGACTTTTTTAGGCTGTTTAGGAATAAATACAGGAAATGTTCTGGATAGTGCAGCATATATAGTGTATAGGCTACACTGAATTATTAAATTTATCACCAAAAGCACCATGGAAATGGTGAACATGAGTATGTATTGTTGGCTGGTAATAGTCCCAGTTGCAAGCAGATATAAGGACATGCAGTTGCCAGTCCATACCATGATACTTATCCTGGATATTGATCCCTTTCCTGGGTATTTTCTAGATGATAAGCAGTACCACCCTCATGTCAGATCAGTTGGCATCTATAAACCACTGACAGAATGAAGAATGAGAACATCTCATCTGAGAACATTAGGAAGCCCAGTCCTGTTTAATCCACTTGCAATGCTTATGACACTATTGCGGATGGGTGGTACGGTGCTGTCAGAACAAGGGGACACTGATCTACCGACATATAGCCCTTTTCCCAAATGTATGTTTTTGAGGAGATCCACTGTCCTGTAGCAGCAAGAAACTCATTTGCCTCCAGCTAAACTGTGATGCATTAATTTCTTTTTGCCGATAGGCCAATATGTCTTCTCCTGCAGGCATTCGTTAACGCTATAAACATGGGTAACTCTTTATACCATCCGCCATTAGGAAAAACAAAGCAACAATATGTGATTCTGTAGAGATTCTCTCCGTGGACATGAGGAGACATTCATTAGAGCCCATTGTGTGAACTAGAAAAAAGAAAAATATATTGTGAGAATGGTCATGTGTACTCCATCAAGAAAATATGCTATATAACACAATATATGTGTAAATTTTGCAGTGTGATTATGTATGTATTAGGGGGAAAATAAGTGCAAGTTTTACTTTCCTAAAACTGTTTACTTTCACAAAGTAAAGAATGAAAGAAAAAAAGAATGCACAAAATTTAATGTTTTGAATAAAAGTATAATAAAAAAGATCCCTAAAATGGAGTTTCGATCAATTTATTTTTAGACCAGTAATGTGTAATATCAGGTTTCATTGTTATACCTTGTGAAATCAGTATGCTTATAAAAACATAACAAAACATGGTATTCTAAACTGGTTGAAAGCCACGATTTTGTTCTTGATTTTTCATTTGCAAGGTGTTGGTTCATATACTTGTCTACAAAACGGTTAGTTTCAGTAACAATATGAAGCATGAGCAGTTCATCAAAAAATAATTCAAAAAAAAATAATAAATGGGTTTCAAACATCGATTATATCGTTCTTTATTCCTGGAACCTACTACAAAAAGTAAACAAAAACGAAGGACTCAGAAAAAATACATTTTACTCAAATAACATCAGCCAATACTGTACAGTCATTACTTTCATGGCTTTAGACACATCCATCTCTCCAATTTCTCCCCACACTTGTCTGAAATAGTATCCTCCTTCGTATACTTTGCAAAGGTCATTGTGGTGTTGCATTCCAAAGCTTTACGAATAATTTTACGGGTAGCAGCGCAAAGCAAAGGATAGTATT